TCTGATTTATCTTATCTCGTTATTCCTTCCTATATCATGAGTTTAAAGTTCGCTTGTTTGTAAGCACTTGTTGTTATGTGTTAACTAAGCTCTAATCATTTGAACTGAATAGCTGGAAAAGAATAGCTGGAAAATTATCATGTCATTTGTCGTCTATTTGAAACTACTGTTCTTGTTTCCAACGTTTAGGCGACACCAAGACGAGATGGACACTAAAAAACGCCTAGATGCTTACTTTATGCCTAGCGCCTTCCTGAAGTTTGAATAATGGGGCCTCTTCATTATAAAATACCATATTTAAAATGACACATTATTTCACAATGAATTAGTTGAACCAAATATCACATTTCAAATGACCCATTAGGAATTTGTGGTGGGCTCAAAGGATTGCTTCTTGGCATTTGCTTAATTCCTATTGGGCCGTTTTGGTAACCGGAATGAAAAATGTGAAGTTTAAATTCCCAAATGTAAGGTTTTAGCCTAAAGTGTGAGAATTGAGAAAGATAGAGAAGCAGTCTGTGTTTTTTTAAAATAAGGGTGATATATGTTGATTTTTTAAATTAGGTGATATTGAAAGGATTCGAACTTGTAATCTTTAGGTTCAAAACACTGATATTATCACTAGGACAAACTTTTGTTGCAAGTGTCTGAGTTTTCAATTACCAGAAAATGTGATAATTCGAACAAAGTCTCTATTCATTATTTTGGACAGGTCAACCATAAGATTTTAAGTTAAATGATGCATTTGTCTTAAATTATACATTCAAATCTCTCGTTCAAACGCTCCATTAGCTTCCAGACAGTTTCCTTTTACTGACCGATACTTTGTTGTCAGTTTTATGTCAATGCCATACATAAAGTAATCAATTAGTACAATCTATAGCGTCAACAACCAACATACTAAACTAATAGATAAAATTATTTCCAAACCAAACCAAGCAATATTAATTAACCGAATCATACCGATCAATCAAGTGCCCCTTACTTACATAGGTCTATACAATTTTTTTTTTTTTTTTTGCCATTCGATCACTCCAAGAAATGTCTAATGGTTAATGAATAATGCATAGCCTTTTGGACATTTCATTAGCTATATGCTAAGATAGTGGACTGGATCCGAGTACACAAAAAAATGTTTGGGTTGTCTGATTGTCTGATTCTCCACTAAGTCGCCTTTGGTCCTTTCCAAACACTGGGGGATCTGTGTCCTATATATGTGGACTTCAACATCTAAATTTGAGCTTAGCTCACCAAAATCCCTCCACTTCGTAACCGTTTTTCCCCCCCTCTCTCTAGGGTTTCAGGAAAACTCAAGTGCTCTGTTTCCAGAGTCCTCCACAGCTCGGTCGAACGTTTTTTTTTTTGCCCCCTTCTCTCTATCCCCTCTTCTCTCTGTAACATCACATTTTCCGCCGATTCGTGCCAAACCCCTTTAGCCGTCTTCTTAAAACTCGCCTCGCTCCCTTCCATCCACCAGATGCGGAGGCTTTTTCGTTCAGCTGCAAGTTTTGCATGCCCATTGTTCCTCTTCATCTGAAAATCGTATTGGGTTTAGTCCTTTCTTGGCGCTGCTCAGTTGGTTTCGCTAGGGTTTCAAATAAAGTTTCCGCCTTTTTGGTTTAAGGAGCTTTGCACGAGCTGTTCTTCAGCAAATTGGGCCAGCGCCGGCGCCTTTGTTGTCAATTCGTTTGTTCGAGCTGGTTTGGGAGGAATTAAGTTTGAAGGCAGGGGGAGGTTGCATTTTGGTGTGGGGGTGGGAGATGAATAGCGTGTTCAGTGAACAGATTCTGTCCGACAAGCTCTCCAAGCTCAACAGCACCCAACAATGCATTGAAAGTATCCTTCTTTTTATTCCTTTCTCTCCATCTCCTTCTGAGTTTAGAGGTTAAGCTTGTCTTCTAGGAAGGAATTGGATCCAGAGGATAATTTTTAACGCCGTGTTTGGTGGATGTTCATGTTGGCTTGTTCGCCTCTTGTTGGATTATGGGTTGAATTGAATTGCACTTGTGATGGTTCTGAATTCTGATGTTGAGGTAGTTCCGTACCATCGTCATCTTCCATGCTTATGTCAGCGTTCTTGTGTTAAAGTTTTGATTTTTGAACAGTTCATGATGTTTGAATCAGTGATATGATGCGAAAGCTGTTTGAAGTTTCATCGTTGTTATATTTCCGGAGAGACAGTGTTAGCTTAACTACGTTCTGTAGCTTTGTCACATTGGTGCATATTTCACCAAACCAAAGCCGAACTCGTTGTTGCGACATGGGACAAACAGTTCCACGTCTCGGAGATGGTTCAGAAAGTCCCTCTGCTTTATCTAGCAAATGATATCTTACAGAACAGTAAACGTAAAGGCAATGAATTTGTGACCGAGTTCTGGAAGGTTCTCCCCTCAGCTCTCAAGGACGTTTCTGCAAAAGGTGATGATCGTGGCAAGACTGTTGTCTCCAGATTGGTAAGCTTACGATTCACTCCTTACATACTGAATTCTGCTTCCTGCATGATTAACAGTTTGGATACACTGGAAAAAGGAAACATCATCATAAGAAACTTCATTAGTAGGTTGATAGTTTCGTGAATCTGAACGCTATTGTAGCCGGGGCTCAAATAATTTCTTTTCATACTAATTAATGAGTTATATATGGAAGAGAAGGAAAGTGCATTCACAGAAGGTGAACGGGCATGTTTATGGACAATTCAACTTTCCGACGAACTATGAACTACTGAAAAGAAGGCAGAATGAGCTGGTTTGTCTAATAACTTAAGTTCGATGGTGGCCAGGTTAATATATGGGAAGAAAGGAGAGTGTTTGGAACACATTCTCGAAGCCTAAAAGAAATCATGCTTGGTGATGAGACTCTACCAGACTTGGAGTTCAGCAAAAAGCGTTCACGCACGGTCAAGATTTTCAAACGAGATTCCAGATCTATTAAAACGGTTAGGAAAAGTTCCTTAAATGTTTTTATTTAGGTTGCCCTTCAACCAGCTCAAGCATTTAATAGCTTTCCTATCTTGCCTTTTTGTTCCTTTAAGTTCTCCCAACCGAAATGTCTCTTATTTTTGTATCATCGTGTTGAAAACCAGAAATTGCCCATTGGTGGCGCTGCCGAGAAAATTGTATCAGCATTCCACTCGGTTGACAGTGAGCGTTCCAAAGAAGAGGCAGAGATGAGTAACTGCAAATCTGTGGTCAGTCGAGTCAGGAAGATGGAGAAAGATGTTGATATTTCCTGTAGCAACGGTAAGCCAAGATGTTCGAATTAATTGCTGTGGGAAAATTGGGATATATGATTATATAGTTAATTATTTCGCCTTACTTCTATTCAAGTGCTTCCAAAGCTCCTTGATGTTCAGCTTGGGAGTCTCTGAAGCATAACAACTTTTGGCTCTTCAGGAAAAGATCCCAAACGTACAAGTTTGGCGAAAGAACTCGAGCAGGAAGACACCCTTCTGAAGCAATGTATTCAAAAACTTAAATCCGTTGAAGCCAGTAGAGCTGCCCTTGTCTCTCAGTTGAGGGAAGCTCTAAATGACCAGGTTGGGAGAACTTTTTAATATAACATGCTTATCTGTGATGGTCTATTAACTTTATGTGCATGCTATAAATTTTTTGTGTCATCTAGATGCTCATATTCTGCCTTTCTCATTTTGCTTGTTCAGGAATCTGAATTGGAGGTTGTGCGAACTCAGATGCAGGTATGTAACTGATGGCCTATTTGAAAATGTTGGTTCTTTGGGTGTGTTTGCTTAGGCTTAAAAAGAAGTTACTCAATAATGTGTGGGCTTAAATACTGAAGCAAAGACACTACTTTAACATGGTGCTACTTGTGTAGTTTTGACCGCTGAGGGTTATTTTATTGAGAAATGAGTTGCTTCCTATCGCTAATCTCCAGGTAGCTCAGGCACAGGTGGATGAGGTCAGCATAATGATAAAGCGGCTGAACGACGAAGACTATGTGCCCAAAGCCACTACTGCAACCCAAATAGAAGCAGATACAAATGGCAAAGCAGGACACACTCCAAAGAAAACTGCAGCAGCTATTGCTGCCGAGGTTGCAGATAAGCTTGCAGCCTCAAGCTCCTCTCAAATGATCATGCATTCTGTTCTGTCTTCATTTGCTGCAGAAGCAGCAAAGACCCAAGGTTTGAAGTCAACACCAGTTAGCTCTTCGGTCAATGATTCCGTGCCAGAACCTGCTATGTTTATGTCAGCACAGAAACCCCTTTCTGCTGCTCCCTCGAACCATGCATACCACACCATGCAGAATCAGGTACCGAGCTCTCAGCCTCAGTTTCACGTGCTGCCGAATCCTTCCTCTCAGCAGTACTTGCAGCCTCCTGGAGGGATTGTTACTCCCTACGGATATGGTAGCATTAGTTCCTTGCCACCAGGACCACCGCCTCCACCTCCTCCCTATATGATGAGTCCAATGGTGCCTATGACTCAGCAACCACCGTCGCAAGTTCCAATTACTCAACAGCAGCAAATAACCTTAAGTCAGCAGCAAGCTGCTGCTGGTCCTCCTAGTTTTAGACCCTTGCAGCCGCCTGGTATGGTGTATTATGGCCATCATCCATCATCCCATTCTCAGTGACGACAATAAGGCCAGTTTGTTTTAGGTGTGTTGGCTGTATAATTTATCTCGGGGCCCTATTTTCCCTTGTAACTGAGAAATTTCTTGGTATAAGACAGTACCTGAGATTAGAACATCTGACGAAGATTGACCAACATTTTTTTATATATAGCTACCATTAGCAGGGCAATCTTAGTGATTCAAAGTGGAGGTGGCAAATGAATCGAGCTGATGTGAGCTCATGGGTTTCTAGCAAATAGGTGGGTCGTGATTTGGTCAAATGCGTTTGTGAATTTATAGTTAGGATCAAAAGAGTTTTGCTTATTGTATGACGAGTATTTCAGTCATTTGTCAAGTGTCAGGGTTGCTGGGTAAGTTTTAGATTTTCGGTTCTCAATCATAGTTAGATCAGTTTGTTAATAGGAAAAGGATGAACTGAATTGGTAGGATGTGGCAAATTAGATTCTCAAAGTGTGAAGAGATGTGTTATTACTGCAAATCTTTTGAAGGATTATTAGTTTAGCACAGGAGTCAAACAAACAGGCAAGCGAATATGGTTACACAGTAGAGAGGCATCAATATCAGGTAGTGCTGCTGTTGATAGGTGAAATTCGGTTGATGATAGCATCTCTGATACGAAGCGGGAGATGGTGCATGATGGCCATAATGGTCGAGTAACGACCCGACGAGAACCATGCTGGTGGATCCTTTCTGAGTATGGCAGCTACTGTATCTTTCGCGAACTTTTCTGCAGGGGTGGATTTGAGGCTTTGGGAGAGGAATGCCCTCTGCCTGATCGCAGCCTCGAATGGTTTGTACAGTTGCCACTCGGGCATCTTGTTGTAGTTAGCTGACGCGGAGTTCCCGATGTTTGATCTGATGGCTCCTGGAACGACATTGATCACGTCGATTCCCAGCGGCTTAAGTTCCAGCCTGCATTTTATAAGTGGAAGTGTCGAAATCAGGCTTCGTCAAAGGTGACAGGGAAATGATGTATCTGGGATTAGAACCATGTCAAGAATTTGCAGTTTCCAGACATATTAAGTTTGAATGCTCAAATGCATGCCAGTTAGAGGAGGAAAGCACCAATCCAACCTACTGACTGATTTGAAATTCGTATGTTCCAAATCCAAGGCTTGGTTTAAAGGTTTTAACGTTGGTTTTCATCCTGAACTAGTTCCTAAAGTAGCACTTACCAATAAAAATAAATTGATATCACCATCATTAAAAAACCCCTAAATGTTTCGTACATGTAAAGTTTTTTTACTGCTTATAATAACTTTTCCGTTGGCCACTTTAAATGAAGTATTAATTGACAAAGAAATCAAAGTCACTCAACCACCTATGCCTAGAGGTTCACGACTCTTTAAGTGTGTGAATTTCAATTATTTGGCAAATGTATCAAATCTTTCGTTACTCCATCAAGCAATCATGCAAAAAAAAAAAAAAAAAAAACATAGTCTTTGTGATTTTGTTACAATTGACAATGTATAATATGCACCTCAATATCGAATGAACATTACGCCACATATCAACCAACAACAATAGTTACAAAAAAAAAAAATCTTTACTTTTTATGCCTTTAGAAGTTGATGGTTAGTGCATTACCCTAATACGATAACTATTTAGTAGTATAAGCAAAAAATAACTATTTTTCATGTGAAAGTGGAATGAGAGGATGACCGCAATTCACTCATCACCCATTCAAATAAGTACGGTTTGAAAATTTCCCTGCAATCCATTTGTCAATCTTCCTACTACATTTGTAATCTTCCACACATTTTCATGCAATCCAAATGCAATTTGCGAGGAAGAACGTCAACAAACCTCAATGTGTCAGTGAGTGCATGAATTGCTGCTTTAGATGCGGTATATGTGCCGGCCCAAGCGGTGGGACCCATCACTGTAACGCTTCCCAGGTTGACAATTTTCCCCTTTCTCCGGGAAGCCATGTGTGGAGTGACGGCTTGAACCATCCTCATTGTGCCTACATAGAAGGAGCTTAAGTTTGGTCTCTCTCTTTGTTCTCTCAGCACGATATAATCGTTCACAATTTCGTTTCACTCGATTTGAAGGCTGGTCGACCGCTTCATTTGCATGATATTTAATATCAATGTGTGTATTGACAAACATATAGTAGCAAGCTACACACAGTTTTACAAGCAAATACATTCACTGGGAACCAGTTTCCTCTTCCGACTATCGTTATCGTAAAAAAGTTTAATGATTTCCTCTAATTAATCCACAACTCTTACGCATCTTGATTAACTAGACGGCTCTGCTCCTGATAAGCAACACCAGTACTCACAGATCAATCTTAATAGCACCATTCTGTTTATGAGGAAACAAGCATATCAAGGCTGCACCTGTCATTGCACTTGAGAGATTATGGAACCCATTCTTCTATCTGTTTACTATGTGAAGTAATAGAGCAGTAAGCCAGGAAGTTGGCTGATTCGACAGTAACCCACACGATCGAAAGGACTTTTTGGCTGGGATTAACATCTGCTAAGAGCCTAATACCTAACCACAAGTTAAAAACTTAAAAACCCATGGATGAATGCTTTGTCGCTCATCGCTATTTCGATCTATGATGATCTTAGTGCGTAATATCTAATACCAATTAACATTTGAAATTCAATTTCGAAAGAACACATGTATCTAGTACCAAATATCGACAAATTCGATTACCCAGGTACTCAAATTCCATCTATCTCAAATAAGCAAATTGAACATATGCAAAAATTGGGCAAATTGGGTTTTCAGGTATCCAAAAATCTTACCGAAAACGTTGGTGTCGAAAGTGCTCTGCACAGCAGAGAGGGGGATCTCAGCAAGAGGGCCGACGCACTGAACGCCGGCGTTGTTGACCAGAATGTCCACTTTCCCATACTTCCCGACGACGTCCGAAACCACCCGCTCGACGCTTTCCGCCGACGAGACGTCCAGTTCCTGGAGATAGAATCTCGGGTCCTGCTCCAGGTCCCGCATCGTGCTCTTCGACCGGCTGGTGGCCACGACCCGGCAGTCGTTGGCGGCGAACTCCCGAGCCAGGGCGTGGCCGATGCCTCCCTGTGAGCAGCCGGTGATCAGGACCACTTCCCGTCCGACCGAATCCATCACCAGCTCCTTCTTGTGGGGTATTTTTGCGGGGAATTAAAGGGGAATTTCCAGAGTGGGGAAGTTTTCCGGTGAGAAGGTGGGCCGTCTGGAATAAATAGAGAGAGATCAGAGATCTGGGTTCAATTCAATCTGCTGCGGCAGCCTATTTTTGGGAGGGAGGGTCAGTGAGTTTTTTATTTATTAAACTATTTGAAGGTTGGTTGATTGATTGACAGACTGTAGGATCTGTGAGGCGTCCGTGGAGGATATTGTGCACACCTTTCCCGTGGTCCCATTTGGGCACTCTGAGGAAATCAAGGTTGTCAAACCGGTTTATGTCAGTTTGCCGGTTTAGCAAGTGAAATGGTTCGACCGGTGGTACATACTGGTTTGTGTCGGTTCATACCGGTTAATATTACAAATAATTTACAAATACTCATATTTAAACACGACATTTAACGTAAATACCTAAATATTTGTACTTGAATCCAACAAATAACATCAATATTTAACTTTTTAACGCGTAAAACAAATAATAAATTACTTTTTATCAATTAGATTCACTAAAATAAGATCATTTTACTTGGAGATCCGTATATCGATTATGCCGGTCATACCGGTTTTATGACCGGTGTAGGTTGAACCAGGTTCAACCAGTGGCATGCCGGCCGGCGTGACAACCATGGAGGAAATTGTTTCACGCAATTAGTAGGTTGTCGTGTGGGGGTGCGAAAAAAATTTTAGGATTGTTATTTGCCGTCCGAGTATTTACTATTTGTCGTCCATAATTTTATAAAAAATGTCAGTTTTACCCCTCGTTTATTTTTTATAACACAAAGCCTCATCCACCACCAGTAGGCAGTAGACCACCATCACCGTCCACACCAAACCACCGTCGCCGCCGCCAAATCCTGTCCCGTCCCGGTGGGCGGACGCCGTCTGTGCCCTGTCCGACCAAAGCCGACTGACCCCGTCCAACCAAGGCCGGCGGACCCTTCCGACCACGGCCGGCGGACGGGTAAAAAAATAATTTACCTTTTTTTTTATTTCCCTAATTACCCCACATACAAACCCACGTCCTAATTAGCCATTACATTCCCTAATTACTAATCTATTGCACAAAACAAGATAATGAATGGAGAAATTAGTGGACGGTTTTATTTATTAATTGACTTAATCACTAATAACTAGTCTACGTCCAAGATAATTATGCCCTACAATTAACTGACCACTATTAACATACGTAACTACCATTTTTGTGTCAAAATAGTGGAGGGGATAAATCCCGCAAATAATTGAGGGGATAATTGACCATAAAATATATTAATTAGTGATTATTGAATGCATTCATTGCTAATTTCCATTTTATTTTTTTTTGTTAGGGGTCAATAAGATTCTTTTATGTTGTTACTTAGTTAAATGTTCGTATCCACACAAATCATCCTCAATTATATTTTTTTATAAATGAAGTTTAGCGTGGGTTTGTTTTAAATAATTATAAACTTTCAAAAATGTACAAATGTGTGGTTAATTAATTGTAAACTATAAAAAATATTATATTACGACAACATTGTCTTAGAGGCCAACGATGATAGTAACAAAGAAGAAAAGCAACTCTTCCGCCTCTTACACCTTCTAGGCTTCTACTACTCCCAAACCCTAAACCTTCATTCCTTCCAAATAGAAATCTTCAACCTCGACCTATCCAATTCTACTAAAATATTGTCTTAGAGGCCAAATCGTCTTTGCATCCACTAATACCAATTGTTCGCATCATCAAAATATGCGTGATAAGCTCCAGAAAGTCCTCGTTATGACTCCTAGAGCCCCCACAAACCTCGATGAAAATTGTGGAACTATACATCAATTTTTGCTCGGGATGTCTAATCGAGAAACGGTGAATTCCAACATGTTTGTATTCACATTTTATTAGATCAGTGAGTGTTTCAATAATTTTATAAGAAAAAATAGAATTAACTTGACTCATTCACTTAATTTATAATTGTGAAAAGATGCTCTAGTTATTAACTAAAATTTCGGCAATCAGTTGTTAAAGAATGAATTATTAATTATTTACTTCTTCACCTCCACCAATAATCCACGTCTAATTCACTTCTCTAATTAAACACTGGCCACCGAAAGAAAGGAATGCGGAAACAAAGGAGTTAGCAATATTAATAACTCTCCCAATTAATTAGTTTACATAATATGTACTTATTAATATAAATAATTCAAATTATCCCCAATTAACTAAAATTCTGGCAATCAGTTGTTAAAGAATGGATTATTAATTATTTATTGCTTCACCTCCACCAATAATCCACGTCTAATTCACTTCCCTAATTAAACACTTGCCACAGAAAGAAAGGAATGCGGAAACAAAGGAGTTAGCAATATTAATAACTCTCTCCCAATTAATTAGTTTACATAATATGTACTTATTAATATAAATAATTCAAATTATCCCCATTTGCACATAATATTTACTTATTGAATATTTACTTATCTCTACACAATAAATAAAAGCCAAATGAGAAAACTTGAAGCCCCATTTCAAATTTCCTGCAACCAGAGTGAAAGTAGGAAGGACATTTTGGTCTTCACAATTACTTTTTTTTATTCATTAAAAAGACACTTACTAGGATTCGAACCATGACCACTTTAAAGAAAAACAAATATCATAACCAATCACACTAAGTATATTTGTTGTATCTTTTTAAATTAAAAATATATAATCGCAGAGAGGAAAAAACCCTTCCCCCATTTCAAATTCCCTGCTCCATGAGCGTTTGTAGGAAGGGTAGAATAGAGAGTGTCAATTTTTTTCTTTTTCCTCTTTGGAACGAGCCAACTTACCAGACACATGCGGATTTAAACCGGTCCAGGAGTGTCAATTTTTTTCTTTAAGTCCTTTTATTTCTCCATGGTGGTAAATATATATGAAAAGGCAAAAACAACACTCCTTTTTATTGCTAAAAAGAAAAAAAATTAACAATAAACTAATGCATGGATTCTAATGGGCTAACCGCTAATCATAAAATAAAATAGTTGAATGAGCCTGACCTACACAGAATTTGCCCATCAAGTAGAACAAATGAACATCATGTGTTTGCCATTCTAAACAAGCTATTTTCTCTAGCATAATATATATTATGCTATTATTTTATATCTTAGTGGCTAAAATATAATGTATTTTAAAGTTATTCAATTGTTCAACCTCGACCAACCCAATTAGTCCAATTTTTTATCATTTCAAATATATATTATGTAATTATTTGATATCATAATGATTAAATTATAGTGTATATTATAGGGAATTGTTTGGTATTTGTTAGTAAAAAACTAAACAGAAAGATCTATTTGGTTATTTTTAACATTAAAATGATCCTAAACATTTTCAGTTTCCTTTCGAAATTCTATAGTTTTATTCCCGAATCAGTGATGTGCAAATGGCGAATTGCAGTCATCTCTTTTCTTTCATTATTTTTTATTTTCAAATAGAAAGTTTAAAAGTAAAGAATAATTAGAGTTTGGCATGGGTCGGTCAAACAAGTTGAATTTCAAGTTTTGGCCCGTTTTGATCAAGTCTAATTTATAATCACATGGTTCCCTGATACCTGACAAAAATCTCAATCCAAACCAGTTTGGCAGGTGAGTCCGTGTTTACCACTATTTTCTAGGGATACAAGAAGGGTGGTTCCTATCCCAAATCATGTTGTTCATTCTTGATTTCTTTAGATTTTATCATGGTTTGGCAAAAAGCTAGCAACGATTGTGAGATGCTCATTTCCCGAAAACCGGCGGGATAGGCGATTTTTTATTCGATTTTCTAGAATTCGATTTCTTTAAAACTTACTCCACCTCATCATATTACCAGAAACAATATTGTTTCAAAAGGTAACATGCACTTGATTTTGGTTCATAAGGCTGATTTTTGATTCGTTGCATCATTCATGTCTTTTTCCTACTAAAATTCACTATTTTTATCACGTGTTTCCCAAAAAAAAACTATACAACAATAAGCTATACACCCCATTACATTATCAAATTTTATACCTCACCTTCCTCCGGCCAAATGGCCGGGGCCCACGCTAGTTTAATATAAAAATGGAATTAATTCCTAATTTGAAATCCTAATTATGGTATTTTACACTTATTTAATTATGCAATAAATAATCAATAATTCAAAAAACGATTTTGGAAGAAGAAAAAAACAGTAACCGTGAGTTTCAGACCCGTCCGCCGCCAGATCTCAAACCCCGTCCGCCGGAGGAATTCGGACCCCGTCCGCAAAGGTCGAGCGGACCCCGTCCGTGTCCGCCTCCGGCGAGAGGACCCCGTCCGATGCCGGTGAGCGGACGCAAAAAAAAAACATATATGTTTTGCTTCTGCCTTCTCGGCAAGCTCCTTTCTCGACGACGACAGCACCTGCAGCGAGCTCCTTCCTCTTCAATGCCGGGGACTTTGTCAGGGGAGGGAGTGAGGTCGGACGAATGAAGGGGTCGGCGGGACAAGATAGGAGGAATGGAGGGGTCGTCGGCGGTGGGAGCAATGGTGAAGGGGTCGGGGGAATGAAGAGGTCGGCCGGCGGTAGGATGTTGTGGAAGGAGGAAGGAAGTTGGTCGTCGACGGTGGTGGGTTAGGTAGGAAGAAGGGTAAAATCGTCTTACATTTTAAAACTATGAGCGGCAAATATTAATTACTAGGGCAGCAAATAGCGATTCACAAAAATTAATATGCTAACTTATGATTCGTTAGTGGATACTAATTAATATCCAAAAGTATGGACTAGTAGTCAAGTATGTTGCTTTTATGAAGTAGTACTAAAGTATATAGAAAGCAAAGATTAGTATTCAAGGTTTGCTAACTAATATCCACATTGAATCAACTATCATCCCAAATTCACAAACTAACATTTAGACAACACAGAATAATATCCATACATCACATAATCAATATCCAGATAACACATAAGAGTATCCAGATATCACATGGTTTAACAGCTAGAGCACCAGCATCCTTTAAGATATCCAGAGTATATTTCCTCTGAGATAACACGAGTCCAGCGCGAGAACCAGCAACTTCAATTCCCAAGAAATACTTCAGTACTCCAAAATCTTTGATACTGAATTGTTTCTGTAGAAAATCCTTTAAGCGCTGAATGGTGTCCAGGTCATCAAACAACTGCTCGCTGTATGGTGGCGCGATACTTGTGCTTCACGTCAC